TTATAACTGCTTCCACTCCCGCCAAAAAATCTATTCCCTGCAAAGTGAAGGAAATAAGATGGAAAGACAACAAAAATTTCAAGAACAACAAATTCCTTATTGCTTCAGTCAGACCAAGTGATGGAAAACAGCCGAGATATCAAGTTCCAAATTTAGCTCTTTTTTTCACTCTTTTACTTTGCTTTTCTCCATGCTTTCTGAAGTCAAATCCAGGCCAAATGAGTCAGGAAAAGTGCATAGTACCAATTTTCTATCTTAAGTTACAACTTTCAAACCACCAACACCATATCTGGTTAAAAATTTACAAAGTAATATGAGAAAGAAAGTAATATGAACAGCATCCTTTTTCTTATGCCAACAATATTTAAATTTTAAACACCACCTCACCATTGAAATATTTCCCAGGAAATTTAAGGGTACCCAGCAAGTTCTATAATTCTGGAAAATCAAAAATATAAAATAAATATGCATGTTTAAAAGAAAAGGACAGGCACAACACAGTGAAAGGTCTTTCCTTGAAAATTCCATCATGTAATTAAATCTGTTCATGCACATATTAATTCAACGTTGTAAAGTGTAGAACAGCATGGAATCAAAAAGTTGGGAGGATAGTTCACATACCACCCCCTGTCGATAATCATCAACATCATCGACATGATCATCGGGAAAGCGTCCCACAACTGCAACAGCATTCACCTGAGATTGGTTAACTAAAGTCTGCACAGCTCTGAGTAGTGCACCAGGATGCTTGATTCTCCCAGTTGATTGTCCAGTCTTTGGATCAACCCACTTTTCCACCTGTTAAAGAATAAGCTATCAGCTCTTGCAGTCACATTGGTAGAAAAAAAAAATGTCTTTCTTTTTTCTTCACTAACCAATCCTAAACATAATTTCAAAGATAAAATTATCATAAATTAATAGCACAGAAACCGACTTGACAAACTACCATCATTACAGAGACGTCCAATTTGAAATTTCCCTTCTTAACTAAGAGCAAAGGCAAATTCATAATGTAGAAAAATTCTTATTCGTAGACGATTGACTACCCTAGATTTATACATCATTTGTTGGATGCACCGTTAACTATGAATGAAAAAGAACATTTAGTATTTAACAGCATAGTGCAGCATCTAATCTATATGAGTAAGCTAGTACAGTCATATTAAGAAGTGCCGACGCCATCAATAACAAGAAGAATTGTCAGTTGAGTTGTAAAGAATGATACCTCTAGTGGGGTATCAGTGACAATATACTCCATAACGGGCAATCCAAGGGAAGCTCTGGTGGCATCAGCCACCTGCAAATGACGGATTCGAAGCTCTTCCTCTATTCCACAATCAAGAACCAATCCCACCTACTTCGCACCACAAGCTCGAACCATGACAAAATGCCAATCAGCGGCTAAATAATTTGGCAGATGGCAGAAACACATAAGGGCAAAATAAATGAAAGATACGCAAAAGTACCTTATTTTGGTGAACAGGCTGAAGGGCCCACAAACCTTCTGCAAACCGGTCAAGAGCATAACCTTCTACATACAGAACATTAGGCATCGGCCAGTGTAACATTGCAGCATTAAGCACCTGTGATTTATTTAAAAATTATTGAGTTCGTGATTGTTCTTTAAGAAAAAAATTGTCATAGAAAATGTAATTGGAAAATAAGTTATACTAATTACTAAACAAAAGAAGACGTACATTAGGGTGCGTGATAAGGCAATCAACGACGGAAGATAAAGCACGAGCAACAGGCAAAGCATCACCGGCGAATCCACCGATGCTGGCTCCTACTCCAGTGGGTACTATCACCACGCTAGTGTACTCCCTCCCACACTGCATCCATCCCCCATTAACCAAAATAAATTACTAGTAATATTTGAAAAAAGAAAATAACTGAACTGACCTTGATAGAGCAGTAGGGAGGAGCAAAACATGAAATTCTTAGCCGAGTGGACGGTCGTGATTTGGTCGTTGATGGAATAAATGGACGGCTGATATGGAGTGTTGCCGTTGCCATTTTTTCGGCTAAGGTAGTAGCTGTCCCGTTGTTGTGGATTGCTTTGCTCCCGCTCGGTGTTTCGTTTAATGGATTTTCCCTCTCTGCCTGGTGGTTGCTCGCTTGCTCTTTTTCTATCATACAAAAAGCTAACAAGCCCATTGGGCCCTTTTTATTTTCTAGTGGACTGGCCAGTCATAAAAGTCTTAAGACTTGTAGGCTGTTGTTTTGGTTTTGACTGGCTTGGACCTTTTTTTTTTTTTTTTTTAACAAACTGAAAGAGAAATAGGGTATGTTTAAAAGAAAGAAATGAAATACAATTTTATTAAAAAAAATAATAATAAATATTGAAATGTTGAGGAAAAAAAAGAGGCAAGGTAATCATATCTAACAGGTCAATCCGTCTCAAAAAGCCTGTAAATTATTCGAGAATTTATGATAAAATTGATGTTTAATCACGTCAATTTCATTTTTTCAATTAAGCCCTTCTGAGTAAAAATATTAAATCAAAAGATGGAGTTTGTGAGAATGCTTTCATTGGTGCAGAGCAATTAAGAATTGATGGTGTAGAATATATTACATTTATATCTTTTTGGAATTTTTTTCTTTCACCTTTTTATTGTTAATAGTGTGATTTTAAAAAAATTTAATTTTAATCAATGAATAAAGGATAGTTAATAGAGTTGAATAGGTACGCTTGAGTTTGGTTGGTATGGTAAAAAACGAGTTTGAGATTATTCAAATTTGTGAATCGTTTGTGAACGAATTTGGAATTTGCATTTAAAACAAGCTTAGAGTTTAGTTGATTGTCTCTCAAAAGTATAATTAGACATATATACATGATGAAAAATTTTATAATACTCAAGGAGTAACTACCGCATATGTACAATAATTACTTCATGTGCCTACTTTTTAGGAAAGAGATAAACAAAAAGAGGAGAGAGAAATTTTTTTAAAAAAATAAGCCAACTTGAAATTTTTGTTCACACTTTTGACTGATTCGGATACGATTCCATGTTGGCTCATTTTTAAAAAAAATTCTCTATCATATTTCTTTCTCCTCTTTATGTCTATTTCTTTCTTAAAAAGTGAGCCCATGGAGTAAATGTTGTATGTATATAGTAGTTACTCATTGAGTATTATTAAATTTCTCCATGAGTAATAATATTTCCCTTGTAATTAGAACATTATGCAAAAATGGACAATACGGTGTTGATATTGTCAAACTAGGGGAAAAAAACAAACAAGAGTTGCTCATTTATAAAAATATATTGATCTATCGATCACAATTCCCATGCAACATCATGTGTTTTGAATGCTTGAATTTTATTGTATTCGGGGACGAGTATATACTCGTAAAGGTTGTACAAGGATAGAGTTCAAACTCTACTGTAACAACTATTTGAATTTAAATTGTACATAATAACTATTTGAGTTTTATAATTTATATTTATCTATAATATGCCCCCGTAAGATGGAGGCACCATTAGTGACTCGCAATCTTAAATCTAAGTGCATTATACTTATTGTTTACCGAGAGGTTTTGTAAGAATATCTACAAGCTGATCCTTAGTAAAGATGTGAAGTACTTTGAGGCTACCTTTTGCTATGCATTCACGTATAAAGTGATAGTCCGGAGAAATATGTTTCATGTGAGAGTGAAATATAGGATTTGTACGGAGGTAAGTGGCCTCGGTATTGTCACAAAAACATTATTAGTGCTTCGTGAGTGTGATGCCTAATTCCAATATGAGATTTTGAATCCAAAGGATGTTAGCGAGCAGTATTTGCCACGGTTTTATACTCAACTTCATATGGTGGTCATAACACCGATTTCTAATGACTTGATTTCTAGGAGATAACATTTGAACCCAAGTAAATAACATATGTTATAGTTGATCGACCATCATCTTTGTTTTCATCCGATCAGAATCACCGAAATCACATATTTGAAGATGAGTACCCTTACATAGAAATGAGCTATAAGTAATGGTCCCTTTTAAATACGGAAGAACCCTCTTTAAAACGATCTAATGAAGCTTAGTTGGAGAGTGCATATAATGAGATAGATGATTCACCATAAAAGATATATGTTAAAGATAGGTATTGGAGACCGCCACCGGTTTCTTATGCTAAGTCGGATCGATAGGGGAGGAGCCATCCCGCAACGATAATGGCATGGTGGACCACATAGGTGTAGTGACCCCCTTTGCACCAATCATTGAGAATTTTTCTAGTATATCAACTATGTGACGATGCTAAGATAAAAACAAACCATCGAGTAGTATGAAAAACCTCAACCCTTAAAAATTGATATAGTATACCAAGGTCTTTAAAGGAGAAATGAAGCTGCTTAGGCACTCGAATAAAAGATTCCAAATAACGATCATTGTTATCTATCAACACTATGTCATCTACATATACCAAAAACTATGCACTAAACACCGAGCATTATTATACATAAATAATGAAGCATACTGCTATCGAGTTTTGATAACCCGATTGCAATAAGAAGGCTTTCGATTCTTCATACCGAGCTCTTAGAGCCTATTTCAATCCATAAATTACCTTATTTAATTTGCATGTGGTTAGACGGTGATGGATGGATAAAACCTAGAGGTTGAATCATGTATACATCGACGAAAAGGGTTTCTTAAAGAAATGCATTACCGATGTCCGAGTTGTTTTAGTTTTCACCCATTTCCAAAGGCTAGACTTAAGATGAGTCGGATTATTATGGGTTTAGAGATGGGATTGAAGGTTTCTAAAAAATCAAGTCCCGGGAGTTAGTGATAGCCTTTGGTAACTAATCCGACTTTGTATTTGGCTATTGTACCATTTAGGTCTTTTATTTGAAAAACTCATTTATAACCCATAAGGTTGTAAGTGCTTGGATATATTAAATCTCATGTTCCATTTCTTATCAAGACATTAAATTCTTCAAACATGGCTTCACGTCATTTGAGATCAAACATAGCGAGTGGAGTAGTTTTTGGGTTCGAAGTATGGGCATGAGATGTATTGTGGTATGATTGATAAAGTAGGAGTTGAAGCATTTTGGATTAGGTTTTCAAGTATTAGAAGATCTTAGATGACAATTGGGTATGGCTGAAAAGAATGATATAGATGATGAAGTGATTGTTATCGAGGTAACCGAACCAAGTATGAAGCGAGATGAAGATTGGGAAGAAGATGAAGAGAATGAATTTATGTCATATATCCCGGTGTATTTTGTGATGGGTTGGGAAGTATGGGTCGTGAAAGGGCCTAAGGTAGATGGAAGCCTAACTTGGTTTGGTTAGTCTCGTCGAGAAAATGACATAATGTCCGAGATGGGGTTTAAGTGAGGATAGTGGGCCAAGATTAGTGAGTTTGATCCGGGAGAGATAGGTTGGGCTATGCTCTCATTTGATGGGTTGAAAGTTGTCGATAAAAGGTTATTGTGGGCTACAACGATTGGAGTTAAAGTTGCTCGATGAAGAGATAGAGATTGAGTCCGGATTGGGTTATTATGTGTTATTGGTATGAACCTATTCAAAATTAAAATTTGTAATTGTAGAAGAATGAAAAATCGAGAAAGGAAGACTTGTAGTGGGATATACGAGTAAGAAGCCTTGCACTACAAGGGAGATTGAAGTTGTTGTATATTTTGTTACATTGGAAAGATATGTTCAACAAATTGGACATGTCGTAAGATGTAGATTTTTTTTTTTTTTTTTATAATTGGATCATAACGTTTGTAAGTCGATCGACTTAAGAAATAGCCTAGAAAAATACAAACCGCTGACCTTGGTTAAAGTTTAAATGTTGTATAAGGATGAAACGAGGGTTAATATAAACATCCAAAGATTTTTAGACGGGTATAGTTTGGAGTACGATGAAAAATAAACCGATATGGTGACTTAAGTTGGAGGATCGAAGTTGGAAGATGATTGATTAAATAGACATACGATTAAAACGTAAAGGACTAATAGAGAGATGGTAGGAAAGCATTATGAAGCGAGTAAGTCCTATCTCAATAATATGTTAGTGTCTTCTTTCAAAGGTGCCATTGTGTTCGGGAGTATAAGAAGGTGTTTTAAAATGAGAAATGCCATGGGCATTTAGAATGGATTTGAGAGCTAAATATTTACTTTCATTGTACGTGTAGATGGTGATCAACGGTTTTTGAAGAAATTTTTTTATCAATATTTTGAATTATGAAAAATGATAGAGACATCGATTTTTTTTTCAATAGGATAGAACCATATGTATTTATTATAATGATAAACAAAAATTAGATAATATATGTACCCATCGATTGATAATTCAATCATGCTCCAAACAACATAATAGACTAGTTCAAAGGGCTAAGAGCTATGTAGAGAATTTTTTAAAAATGAAAGATGATGACTTTTATTCAAACTATAGAAAGTACAATGAAATTTAAATGACGATGAGAAGCCTAAGCTTATTTTGTCGGCACTAAGAGCGAAGCAAAGAATTGACATTGTTAGATGACCAAAGCATTGATGTCATGTAGCTAAGGAAGTTTTATGGCGGTGTGATGAATTTATGGACCTACTCAAGGTAAAAGGTAGACATCATTGATGTTCTCCCTCAAAGTAGAGGCACCCCAGGTGCGTAGATCCTTCATATGAAAATGATGAGGAAAAAATTCAAGTGAAACATGATTAGTTTTACAAAATTTATAGACGGAGATTAAATTTTTTTTAATAGATGGGGCATATAGGATATTAGCTAATAAGAAGGAGTGATTGTTGAGATTTAAAATGGTGGTGCCTATGGAATAGATTTTTAAATCTGTACCATCATCAATACCGATCTCATCTAGACCACTATAGTTTGAATGAGAGGAAAAATTATGCACACTACTAAGTGACATGAAGAGATGCTCCAAAGTCAAACAACTAAGGTTGAGTTACATTGGAATCGGCGAAGCCATATTGGCAGTAAGTGTTGAAGAAGAATGTTGAAAATTAGAGCCAAAGGTTACACTCGTTTATTCTAACGAACCTTGCAAGTTTTCAGCAATCATTTGTGATATCTCCCGGAATTTCACAAAAGTTGCAAAAAGAGGCTAACTTTGCAAAGGGCCATGGGAAGCCCGGACGTGTGTGCTACCATGTGGAGCATGATGAGGAGAGATTTGTGCCACGGGTTTTGGGTTGCCATGCTAGTCAAGATGAACCATGATTGAATCTAATGGTCCAAGCAAAATTGATTGGAGAAAAGGGTGATGTATGATTGGTCGTCACAAGAGTGAGAGTGGGATTGATGCCGGATTGTTGTTGGAGCCTCCATTCACATTCCTCTAGCTTATCGAAAAGTTCATCAAAAGATATTGTTGTATCTTGCACAAAGACAAGCAACGACTACGTGCGAAAATTCCTCTCTAACTCCTTTCGGGACATGCATGATGAGATCTTCTTTCGCTACTTGGACTATCGACAATGGCAAGAGCATCGATAATAACTCTAACTTCTTGTAGATATTCGGCTATAGTTCGGATACTCGCAAGGATTGTCATAAAGTTTTTCTTTCAAGAACATGACACGAGAGCAAGATTTGTTTGCAAATAAGACATAAAGTCTAGGTCATGCTTCATGTGAGGATGAAACTATGAATATATGTGATTGAATTTCGCGAACACGGCTCCCGAGGATAGCATTTAAGATCAACTCATCTTGCCTATACCGGGTTAGGTATGTTAAATTGGTAATGATTTTAGATGTGTCTTTCGGATCCGAAATTTTCTTAGATGGATGTGGTGAGCCGTCAATGTGATTGAAAAGATTGTAACCAATGAGTACGAGTTGAGTTGGGTACGCCATACGGAGAAGTTGGACTTAGTGAGTTTGGTGGGCGGATGAGTATGAGCATTAAAGGAAAAATTTTGGTTTCCAATAGTGGAGGAAGCCACGGATTGATTTGAGAAGCTTTTAAGCTATGAAAGCTCTAATACCATAAAGAGATTAAGTATGTCCGGAATGCTTGAATTTTATTGTATTCGGGGATAATATATATACTTGTAAAGATTGTATAAGGATAGAGTTCAAACTCTACTCGTAACACAACTATTTGAATTTAAACTGTATTTCAATTTAAATTGTACATAACAACTATTTGAGTTTTATAATTTATAACCTGCCATAGAAAATTAAACATCCGGATTTAAATATGGGGCACGTCAAATTGCACACGAGAAAATTGACATCCTAAGTAGAAAACAATGAAGGTTGAGGCCAAATATTATTATGCTAGCAATAACACGTATTCCATATTTGGAAATAATCACCGGATTAGGCAGTGACATTTTAGAGTTCTCAGCTCGTCCCCAGATCAACTTATCAACTTCAATGGCCGCATCATCACGTTGTCTTCATGATCCAAGATCTGCATATTAGAGAAAGGTCATGTTCATTTTCACTATAAAAGAAATAGATAGGAAAGGAGTAGTGCTGCATTGCACGAATTAATTTCGTGACGCCAAAATTCTGCCACAAATCATTTTCCGCTGGGAAACATAACTTCAATGTATAGGTTAAATTTCAGTACAGCAAAATAATCATTTCTAAAGGCAAAGTATATCTGAAATGGAGTTATATATGTTGCAAAATATATAATACGCATAAAATTAGTAGGGTCAACTCTTGAATTGGCTTCTGTAAAATTAGCAAGAACATGACAGGTTTACAGAATCTTTCCACTGAAAAAATTTTGTGGTACCCGTGAACAAGAAGTTCACATTGGAATGTGCAATACGTTCTGATCTTGATGACCTACATTTTGTTTTGTTATAGGCAGATCTTCGATTCTTGTAGATGAGTGGCTTTACATTGCTCCCAAGGAAGGCAATCAACCACTAAGATTGCATTATGTTCTGGCAAAGAAAGGGACTTTCTCATGGGGAAAAAAAAAGAGGAAAAAATGGCATAAAAACAAATAATCATGCAGCAGCAAATCATCACAATTCGACAATTTAGTTTTTTTGTTGGTTTGCCAACAAACTAGTTTATGTTAACTACTAGCTAAATTAGGTGGTGCATCCCAAGAAAACACCTAAATCCCAATCCTTAAATGCATAATTAATCTTTTTGCGTACTTATTACTTGCAAGATTCAAGCAAGGCCGTTGGTTGTAGCAGGATAGAATAAGGGTGTTTTATCAAAAAAAATGCCTTTATGAGGGATTATTCAGTGCTATTCAGTTTGTTATACTCCTCTTTCTCATATAAAAATAAGAGTTTTATACTCTTTCTTAGATAAAAATAACTTGGGTATCGTACTACTTACGTGGCAATGGTAGACGTAACCAGGCTGAGTAGTTGCATCAAACGGGTAGGATTCATTTGAGTGTATATAAGCAAATCTGACAAGAATCTTGGTCACAACTCCGGGTGTCATCTTGTACACATTCTTCCATCCCTTCTCATGGGCTGGCACCTCTATCTTCTTTCCACGAGCATACTCATCTATTTTGCACTTGATCGCATTGTTCAATTTGGACATGCACGCTTTAAACTCCTCCTCGTTGACCAACTTGGTTTGATCAATCACCTTAAATAACCCCAGATGGATATGCAACGGGTGATTATCCTCCGTCAGATTGATCACATTCCATATCTCACTGGTCCCCACTTTTGGGGTCTCAGTAGCAGGTTCAGCAAACTTTTTTCCGTTGATGTAAAGATGGGTTGGCTCATCAATGTCGCTTGTGTACTCGTGCAGGGAAATGTACCGTGTCTTGGATGCGCTGGATAAGTCAGCATCAGGGTATTTAACCAAGGTTTTGGGTACTCTCCACGTGTCGTGCTCTACCTCCTCCTTGATGATAAACTTCATGACCTTGCCATTGGCTTCATTCACTGGGTCCCCGGATGGATAAGGATAGGCTGCATCATTGGCTAGAATTGCACTGTGTGAATTTGACTTTGAAAAGTCAACCACCACGTCAGCAATTTCAGATGGGGCCAAGAGGGTCTCCTTGGTTACCACTGGCTTCTCTAGGTATGCTGAATCAGCCGACACGTGGATGAATTTCAGACCGTTGGTGAAAAAGAACCTGAAGAATCTTGCATTGCTGGCATTGATGATCCGGAATCTGTATTTACGACGTCGCACGGTCAGACGAGGCCAGGCTTTGCCATTAACAATAATTGCATCGCCAAAATACTCAGGTTGCCATTGTGGGTGGATGGAGGGATTATTTCCTGTGGAATTCATATATATCGAACCATCAGTGCGAAAGCTACGATCAAACACCATCAACGTCCGATCGAATTCTTCGCCATTCGGCAGTCTAAGTGGAGCCTCAACATCAAGATCACGAATAATGTAGGCCCCAATTAAGCCAGCTAATAAGTTGACTCTAGTCAACCCCATCGTATGATCATGGTACCATAAGTTTCCTGGCTGTTGGAAGTTGCGGTAATGATATTCTCTTTTGGTCCAAGTGGGTCCTACCTCTTTAAATCTAC